GAGAGAAAAGTCAATCAATACTGGTGGCGGGGTGCTGGAGAGGGGTGTCGCTTATATAAGCAACGCACAATAAATATTTATTTTCGACCGAATTGGTTCGCCGAATGACAATACGCTAACACTAGCGTGCTGGCACCCCGATATATACTTTACAGTACTTTATCTTTATTACTACCTGTAAATTATTATGTGCAATTGGTTATTTACTAGATATGAAAATCTGATTAAGTCTGAGCTGGATGGATACGGCCTTCTGACTTTAGCACAACAGCAGACTGTGAAGTACAACTGGTCTCTTCTCCATTCAAAATAATGAACTCGAAGAGTAGAAGACATGATTGCGTTTGAAAGCCGTAAAGTCCAAGAGATAAATACCTGAAGGTCCTGAATCATCAAAAGTGGTATTTATCGGTGGTCTAGTTAACTTCAACCAGGAGTCTAAGGCTTCTCCAGAATGTCACAATTACCTGTCAGTAGTTCTGTGGAATTCTGGCTGTAAAAGCAAGAGTTCGATAATCACATCTGGACCAGAAACTGGGAGGAAGAAACGCGACGCACAAGAGAGTATAGAAAGCACGTAGAGAAACGCTGCGATGATTGTGTATTCAGTACTTGAAGCTCGATCCCTTCTCGCTTTGCCTAGGTACATAAAATCACTGGAATAACACGTTCCAAAGCGCTTATTGCACGGAATTCGATACTGGAATGTATCCTCCTGTTTTCGTCGATATGTGCGATTCCAAACTCTCTCCATGAAGCACGAGTCGCAAATTGGCTTCCTCTCCACAACATCGGGTTCAACCCGGGAGGACTCCGATCGAGAATGGAGCCTACACCTCAAGATCCTGCACGTCCGTCGACCTCATTAGCTCATTCGAGATCTTCTTATTGGTGAACAATCTCATACGATCTGTAGAATGAGATTTCGAAAGAGCACGTTAAAATCCTAACAAGGTAACAGGAAAAGGATCGATCCTTAACTTTCACAGCCTCTGTTGACCGCGGTACTTGGATCGTTACCTCATATATGTTAGCATATCAATACCGACTTCATGAAGTTGTTGAGGTCGGCAGTGCTGTTGACGTCTTTGGGGTCGATGGAGGTGCCTTCGTCGTTGTTGGTGCTGATGAGCACGGAGACGTTGACGAGCCGGTCTTTCCGGGGGAGGATGCTAAGGGCGTCGGGGATGAAGTCGGCGTCGATCAAGGAGCCGTATTCGAAGGGGGCATCGTGGCAGATGGTGTTAAGCGAAGAGTTGAAGATGGCGTTGAGGCTTGCGAAAAGTACCGCGCGCAGATAGTCGAGGGTGTCTGCGCTCCCGATGCAGTTGGCTGCCTTGAGGTTATTGTCGTACTGGGGCTGCCACAAGGTTACGTCTCTACTCGGCGCAAACCAAACTGGAGCCCCAATTGCTCGTTCGAACAAATTGTCGTTGTTGCCGCCTTATGCTATGACCTGCAGACCCACCGACTGGGCGCCAGTGCTCTGGCCCGGATGTTGACCCGTGTAGATATCGATCGTCGTATAGGCTGCCTCAGTTGGAGAAACCTTCAACGTCTCCTAGTACTCAAAAAGGGCTGAATATGATATTGCTAAACAACTGCGAATCTTTGATGCATATGCGAGAAAGCGACCGGAGACCGGTGTGGCCTAAATTGCATCCTCAGCGGATAGAAGGGTCATCTCATGGGCCATTCGCTCTGTCACCTTTACTAATGCAGCAACTGATGACGGCCAATACGGTCCCGTACAAGAGTTGACTGTGAAATTGCTTCAGTTGGGTTGCATGGAGTTTGGGAAACCCAAGGGTGGGAGTTAGCAGCCGACGGCCGAGAAGAAATTGTAGTCCGTAACTTGACATCAAGCTTTGAAATCACAGCTTGTGGATCGAAAGGTATTAAGCCAGCTCCACGGAATCCAGCCTGACAGTTTTCGACTATCATAGTTTCCCTATATGCTGCTAGAAAGAACTCGACCTTCGTGATATGGTTGATGTGGGCTTTGATGAACGTCTCTATTTGCCGGCCGTACGCTCGCTTTAACACACTAAAGCACCCAACATCAAGTGGCTGGGTAAGATGGGACGAATGAGGAGGTAATCCAAGAGTTTTAATGTTGTGTGCCTTGCAGTACTCTTGGAACTCGGCCGATTCGTGACTCTCATGCCCATCTAACACTAGCATTCGATATAGACCCTTTGTACGAGTAGCAGTGTGTTTATCGAAATGTTTTAGCCATTCTAGACCCGTCTCATTATTTGTCCATCCGTTATTTGTCGGTTTAATAACCCAGTCGAATGGGAGGCCGCCGTCGGTATACCAGTTAGAGAGATGGTTCTTGCCCTGGACTACTAAGAATGGAGGAATACTCCAGCCTTCCCCAATGATGCAAGCAATTGCTGTAGCTCATTCCCAATTGCCTCGTTGAACTGCCTTGCCTCTACCACGCTGATCTGCACAGGTAACAACCGTTCATTCCAGGACAAATTATACCCATCATAACCCAGTTTCGTCAAAGTTGTATAAGTCGCAGTCCAAAACCCCATACTTCGCCCGCATATTCACAACAAGTCGAAACCACGCGTTAATTAGCTCTGGATCTTCGCATAATGCCCTTTGGAAATCATAAACACGATTAAAACGCGTCTTTAGGTCCGGTTGTCGTTGTAACAATCGATGAGCCCAGAGCTTGCCGACGCGTTCCCCCCCCGGCCATTCGAGGATAAAATTGGCCATATCTTCTACACCAGCTAGCCGGGGCGCAAATCCTCTAGCGTCCATGTCAAGTATATTCCGAATAATCACCTCCTCTTCCAGTTTAGTTAACTTCAGACTATCAGCCTTAGTTTCGAGGCGGTAGGTTCGGCCAGCCATTCTATCGGAAAGGGTCGAAAGGGGTACTTTGTAGATCTTTGCTGCGAAGCGTTGGCTTAGTTTTTTTAAGATGTTCGAGTAGCCTCGATAGCAAGAATAATTCGTGCTTCTTTGGTTTGAACTCCCATTTGTAGTTGTTGAGAAAACGCGTGTTGAAGTTGATGGGATGTGGGGAAAAGTGTCCGACTCGGTGATATGTCCGACTCGGTGATAAACCACGTTACACAAAACAAGTCGAAGAACTGCAATTGAACTGGGCACCATATACATTCAACGCCATTGTTCAAAGGCAGGTGTTCAGCGATATTGCAAACTAGGTACGACTGTAATCTCGATAAGAAACAAAGGGTCGCAAATACGCTCGTCAACATATAGATAAAGCCATCACGACTTCTGGTAATATGTATGGTTCACAGATGGAGTACACTTCCCTTCAGCCTCATTGCAAAACGAGCCTGAGAACCAGCTCCGGTTTCGAGGTCAAAAGAAGCTATTAGAGTCGAAACAGGGAGAGAAAACGACTGGTTTGTAGGTTACGGTACACGTTGCAGGTGGAGCCTTATGCAACCACAAAGAGGCACTAACCTTCTATGAAGACCCAAAGAACCAGCAGAGAGAGTCCCCAACCCTTATATAAAACACGCAAAATTAAGTACAAACCCAAGCCTGAGTTTCTTGCCCGGGTAGAGGCTTGGGAACGCGAACAACCAGAAATGAAATTCCTGCCCCAAGGGCAATGCAATGTCGCAACAGTTTTATGCCAGAGAGGTTTTCTCCAAGCGTCTTGAAATCGCGGGCTTGACAGAGCGGTTGTCCCATAAGGTTCATTTACAAGAGAATGGGAATCCTTCACATGGTAACAATTCGAAGAATAGTTCTTGTTTTCGCCTTCAATGAGCTGCAAATGTTTTGGTACTTCTTCATCCAGCTAAATTACCTGATATCAGTCCAATTGAGGCTATTTGGATGGAAATTAAGCACGGGTTACGTGGTGGAAGTTGGCTTACGGTTGCGGAGTTTAAAGCTGCAATACAGCGTGAATGGGATATAATTACATTAGGACAGATCCGTAAAAGGATCAAAGAGATGAGCCTGGTGTCGTAAGAAGGCTATAGAGCTTGAAGGGAGGAGAGTTAGGTCTTCTGTGTGGCGATTTTATAAGATAGATTCAATTCGCGTTTTGGCGTTCTGATCCCTCTGCGCAATAAGACTTGGCACCTAGTTGATTGATTGATTGATTGATTGATTGATTGATTGATTTTATCATACACGGATCCAGCCGTCTTTAAAACAGCTATGCCGGAATGGCTCAGCGTTGGCACCAGTTGCCGAAGTGCATCTGCCTCGGGAAATGCACGACACTTCATCACACTCGTGTGACCAGCACCCTCCTCCACTGAGCCGTCTGGCTTCTATCTACGTATACATACATACACGCTGACAGAAGTTCTTTGTTTGTGGCATTAGTATCAGGCTCTGCGGAGACCAGCTTGTCCTCCTATATCTGCGCTCTCTGGGTACTCGGTGGGCTACGGCCACAATGAGGCCATGTTGCAACTCCGCTGGCCACAGCAACTGTGATTCCACGATCCCTCTGATCCTCTCGGGGGAAAACCTTCCCAACAACGTTCTCTCTCGCCCAATCTCCCAGATTCCCAGACTTGTGTATGCTTTGAATGTGAAATGTCGTTCTGTAGGTTTTCTTTTTTGAGACCTGGGTGGCTCGATCGAGGCTGTATTGAGGTAGGAAAACCCTGAGGAGTTGCTGCCGGCTTGCACGAACGCTTCATTGCAGCCACCTTCCTCCGATGCTGATCACCGCCCGTGGCCGTCCCCAGCACAATCCCATCTGCCACTATGACCGGAGCCGCGCGAGAGTTGTCGGGCCCTAAGGGCGTCGGGGATCGAGTGCGCGAGTCGTTCGTCCGCCGTCCTACTAGCCACGCTGTTGACTTGAGCATGATGGGGTGGCAGCTGCAGGATTCGAACCTACCAGCACAAGCTATCTTCCTCTTCTCTGGCCATAAGAAGAGTATACACAGCAGGTGCTCACCAGAGAGGCAGTGCCAGCTATCTCTCCAGCCGCCAAAAAAGGATGCTAACGGCGCACCAGGTCTGAGTATAATAGGTCCCGGCAGGAGTCGAACCAGCATCCTCAGAAGGCACTCTAATTCGTGTCAGAATCTAATGTGCTAACCATTACACCACGGGACCCTGTTATGGGCCAGGAAACAAGCGAGACTTGTCGTGGACTATTTTTGTTGGCACCTAGTGTGCATGGTCGACGTTCACTCTTTATTTACTTGAGGCTTCTACTGAAGACAGTCACGTGCTGCGTTTAAACAGCCACGGTGACTTAGATACATACTGTGGTCGTCGCATATATGCACTTCCTGAGGCTCCTCTCAGGTGCAAAGAAAGAGCCCTACTATCCGACATCGGCAGCCCACAACAGAGCGGTGATGGAAGAGAAGGCAATTTCTAGGAGCTCATGTTACTGAATAGGACCAAATATAATCTAGAGAACCTGGCTAAGGTTAAAAGTGGTGTAGAATTGGGGTGCAGCTAGGGCAAAAGATGCACTACTTCCTGTGGGGAGCCCCCATGCTTGGGAAGACCATTTCCATAGGCAGGCCAGGATGGGGACTGGAGTTGACCAGTAACTCCGCGTTTTATTTGAGGGGGAAACCAGTGACACGTCATGTGCTAGGTTATGTCGAAAGATGGTTCTTGCGAGGCAATATGGAAATTGTGGAAGAATCCAATCAGTGGAGAACTAACCAGTAAACAAATTTCTCTTGCCTGCATCCTGTCCTTGAGACCAATTTTAAGATACCACCATATTTATGAGACGATTTCATCGTTAGCTGTACTCATAACACGGTTCATAATTGGTAATACCAAGCATCGTCTTGTGCTCTAAACAAATTCAATACTTTGACACGTGACAGTCTGTGCACACAAGTTCGCTGGTGAAGAGGTCAACAAGTCTGAAACTGCTGGGAGCTCTTGCTATGTCCCTTAGACTTGTGAGGACCTAACTTGGTCTGGAGTATATTGTTTAGGATTGTCGTAGAGCACGATTGTTTAGAAGCGAAATGTTCGGATTGCTTAGCAGTGGTTGTCAGAATTGGTGCTGCTTTCACTTAGTCAGCAAAATCACCAAAACACAGGGTGCAGGAATTCGTCGCGCAGGGGCCACCACATGATATTTGAAGTTCGTATTCTTTATATTATTGCATTTATTACCAGAGACCTAACTCGCTGTCCCCCAAGTTCTTGTACACGCTTACACCTCCAAGGCATCTTCCTTGATACGTTTACGAATTTCAGCAATTGTGATTCTGTCCCATTCTTGCTCAATTGCTGCTTTGAATTTAAGAACTGTATGCTACGTCCCACCACGTAACCGCTGCTTCACTATCTGCCAACAAGCCTCAATAGGATTCAGGTCTGGGACTGTGCGGGATGTATAAGAATATGGAGATCTGCATCGCGTTTGAGCTTGTAATTAATAAGGGCTGTTTACCGATCGATTGCCATGAGAGGGATCGCCATCTTCTTGAAGGCGAAAGCGGTGGCTGTAATACTCTTCTAAGGCCTTAATCTCTTTAACATACTTTGGTAGGATATCCTTAGCATAGAGCTCTTGCGGCATTGCATTGCCTTTAGGTATAACCTCTGCTTCCTACGCCTCTACCTCCTTCTAATACTCTTCATCGACTTTGTATACCATTCTGCGAGGCGTTGGAGGTTTGTAAGCCTTTTGAGAAGGCTCCTCTATGTCCTTTTAGAATATAAGCTTCCCTTATGGTTGTAGGAGACTCCGGCGGCGCAGTGAATAGTACCATCTAATCCTGAGGTTTTTGTCTCTTTTAAAGACTTGTTTTGACCTGGATAACGTAGCTCGTACTCCGCTGAATTTTGGAGTTTGACTGACTGGAAGTGGACTTCATCTGTGAACCATATATACCGCCAAAAGCCTGTGAGAGTCTTGTTCTCATGGGATTGACCATATTTAAAACGAACAGGCCTGTTTTTCAGGGAAATTTCGGTAGTACAGGGTTTCTTGAACCGCAGAGCAATGTCCTTAGCCCTATGGTGTTGTAGCGTACGTGTTGAGGGCTTGCCATCGAGTGTTTTAGCTTGGTTTTTATATGGCTCTTTGTGTATAGGATCTTCCTGATTCGTAACCTTCCTAAGATCTGCTGCAGATATATTGCTCTTCCCCCCTAAATTAGAGCTGATATTTCTTGTTCTTTTAATAGCTTGGCCACCTAAGATCTCCCTCTTTTTGAGCCAAGTACGTGCAGTAGAAGGTGGAAGGTTGATATTGGGTTGGCGGCGGATTTCTCTGAGAGACGTCGCATTTTCATTTTTGTCGTATGCATAAAAAAAACGAGTGCGTTGATAGTGTCACGTTCACGCCATTGGGGAGAATGAGGAGGCGTTGATGGTTCCAAAATGTTGTTGTTTTGACAATTTGATTGTGTTGAAAACGCGACGTGGCCCCTGCGCAAGGAATTCCTGCACCTCCTGTGAAAAGTATTAATGTGTTAATTTCTTTATTTCTACCAGAACGCTTGCTTAATACAAGCTCCTTTTGTTTCTCTTAAGTGCTTACAATCTCTCAGGCATAGAACCTGTACGTTTTCTAATATGCTCTAGCGTTACCTTATCTCATTCTTCACGTAGGGCCTCCTTAACATCCTTATCACTATCAAAGCGTTTACGTCGCAAACGCTGCTTGATAATGTTCCAAATACCTTCAATAGGATTGAGTTCAGGACTCTGAGCAGGATGCTAAAGGTTGCGTATATTGTGAGTAACATTACACACACGAGCGAGCCCATCTTTGCGCATTCCGTGAGAAGGATCCCCATCTTCCAATAAAAGTCACGGCCCTGGATGCTCTTGGCGAAGAGTATGGATAAAACCAACGGCAATTGGTACTCCTCGATCTGGAGTTCGTAAAGTTCTCGTCAGTGGGGGGGGGGCCGGATCTTCTTAGAAACTAAGATCTTGCACGTCGACTTTGAGATCTTTGAAGGCCTTCCAAACTTCTTAGATATCCCCCGCGTAAGTCCAACTGCCATCCAGCCAAATTTCTTCCTTTGCTTCTTCCATCTTCTCCCTGTAGCTTTGTTGATTTTATTGTCTTGGCAGATCGCGCGCATTGACTTAGAAGAGCTGTCTTTGTCCAAATCGCGGAGCAATCACGTCTTTTGGAGTCTACCAACAGCCTATAGCGTGAGGCTCTGGATAGGGAGTAATTCGAAATTTTTGATGCATTGTGGGGAGCCATATTTGCACATATCAAGCTCACTTAGTGATTGCTTTGATTTTAGGAGTTTCACGATTTTGCTGACTAATTAGGTGCGGCACCAATTCTGACAACCACTGGTGGTCTGGCTGAAGCGACTGTATCAGCCTTGGAAGAAGAGCGAGTCGGTATTCGACCTGTATTGAGACGGACCGTAGAAAGAGGATTTCGAACCCTGCGTAGCAGCACTAGATCGATGGCCGATCCGGCCAATGGAGAGCCCGATGGGCCGCCCAGCAGTTCTCGGTGGATCGCGTCGCTGACACCACAGCACAACTCACCACCGCCATCAGAGTTCAGGAGGATCACGAGAGGATACAAAAGACGAAAGAACGACATTGTCACATTCACTGGAGCCAATGAAACCCCCAGCTTCGAATTCTCGGGCGGAGGGGAAGGAAGAGGCACGAACCTCGATGAAATCGCGTGGCTCGTCGCAAACTTGAAAGAGACCATCATCCAACAAAGCCAGGTCATAGAAACCCTTCGAAAAGAACAAGCGGAATTCAAAGCAAGCCAGGAGCATTTGAAAACCCAAAATGCAGCGTTACAAGCAGAGATTCGAGAACTCAAGGAGGAGGTACGCCGTGGAACACTTTCATATGCGAACGCTGCCCGTACACCACCAGTCAGTCCCCCAACGATCATGTCAACTGCTTTGTCCCTCAACACCACATCGGCTACCTCTATCGATACGCTTCACTGCACGGTTGATATCTCGAGAGCGGGAAGAGGGGGTGATAGGATGTCGGCAGGCATGGTTAGAGCGGCAGTCGAGAAAGAGATCCGAACAATGGACGAATATGGAAGCTGGCGATGCCGCGCAGTGACCGTTGACTCGAAGAATACAAACTGGATTAAAATCGCCTGCCGAAATGAAGCCAAACACATGCTGGTTAAGAGGGTTGCAGAAACGAAGATTGGAGCTGGCGTACGGGTGCTGCGCGA